GGCGGACATATGGGTTAATGTTGGACTTGTGGGCTTGGGCAGCACTGGGTTGGGATGTTTTCTTGATGTGCACTTACCCTTTATGTAAAACTCTCTTTTACACATGAGTTTCTGTGGATTTGTTTCTCTAAAGTACCCAGAGAAACACACAGGTGTTCCTATGTCTGAGCCCATTGTTGGGTCAATCCATCTCCTTGAGGGCCTCCCCACCCCCCCACCTTTGGTGGGCACTCTACCAAGATTGCTGTTCTTACCTGGGGCTGTTCCCTCCTGATCACATGTCCAAAGTGAGTGACACAAGCCTTGCCATCCTCATGTCAAAGGAGCATTCTGGATGCATTCTTTCAAGGCAGATGTGTTTGTTCTTTGGCACTTTCAATATTCTCCACCAACACCATACTCCTCGTGTATCGATTCCCCTAACATATCACAGATCCTGTGTTTCAAAATGTGTGTGGACTCTACTGAGCTCAATAACTTACGAATAGAAAGCTGGAATGGGAAGACAAGAGCAGGGCAGGGCAGGAATAGAGGGGATGATTCATTTAGATAGACCTTCTTTTCTCCCAACTCTTGCTTTCTGTCTTGCTTGTATGTTTTATGGTTTGTATTATCCCCTTAAGTTCTGTTGCATGTGAGTCAATGGAAAGGTGCCTGGCCCAGCTGGGCCCAAGGACAGGGCTGGGATCCACACAGCGGTCCTCCTGTGTAAAACTCTTACGTAAAGGCAGCAGGCACGTGTCCTCGGTGTGTGTCTGCCTGTGATAAGAAGTCTCTTAACCTAAGGTACACTCCTTGCAGCCCCCATTTGCTGATATACACATGTGTTTTTCCCTGGGTTCACAAGGAAATACAGCAGTAAGTCCTTGGCCTCTCCTGAAATGCCACAGCTGGAGTCTGAGGAAGCAGTTGGCACCAGGGCAGACACACACCATGAGCATTGGTTTCCTTTTGCCCCTGGCTGCCTGGGTCTTGCTGGGCCCGTCAACTTGAAGTGTCTGTGCCTGGCAGCTCCAAGTTCTGGGCCTGTACAGAATCTCCTCCTGGAAGCGCCCTCCAGAGTAGAGGCCCTGGATTCGCTCATCATGGATGACGGGGTACTGGAAATAGATGGGCAATCTAGGACTTGGGCTGGGGAGGCAAGGAGGCATCTTGAGGAGGTACAGTGCCTCCACATCACCTCCTTTACTCGTCACAGAGTCAAGACCCAGGGGACAGGGGCTGCCTTTGTCTTGCTCACAGCTCAAAGAAATGTTTCTGGAATCCTGAATGGGCCCCAAGAGGGCACCACTATCAACAGATGCAGTAGCCGGTTAGAGAGTCTCCGCTTCTGAAATGCCTGGCACACTTGTAACTATTTGTCCACAGCCTCTTCCCCTGCCACACTGGGAGCCCCAGGAGGTCAAGGCCTGGCTTGTTCACAGCTGGATCCCAGCATCTAGCACAGCGCGGGCATGGAGCTGGTGTTCAGGACATATTTGTGAAACGAATGACTGAGTGAGCAAATCAGTCATGTGACTTGATTAATGTCACCCTGCAGAACCAGGGTTTAACCCTGTCCTCTGATCAAGCCGTGAACTCCATCAGGGCAGAGCAGGGTCTGACTTTCGCACCAGGAGGTCCCAGCACCACGGACAGTGCCTGATGCCTATTCAGCTGAAATTGTTCGGGAAGTACCTGCTGAATGGATCCTGAGTGAATGAATGACTTCAAAGACCGGGTTTTAAAAATTATTATATTGCCACCCCCTTTAAGGAGGCTTGGGCTTATGCACCAGCCCTATTTTGAGAGAAGGCAGCATTTAAGGACGGGCTGTCTTTCCATCGGGAGCGTGAAGGAAGCACGAGGAGCTCCTTGTGGTGTGCTTGGAGCACCAGGCTGCTTCACCACCAGCCCCGCTCTGGGCAGCAGGGAGGGAGGGAGTTGGGAGCCACAGACCTTGGGTTTCAGGCACTGGACCATTGAGGCATCAGGGTGAGAGTGGCCAACAGAAGCACCCAGGTCTTCAGGAGCCCTGAAAGGAAAGCAATTTAAAGGTGCTGCTGGCACAGATGTGCAATTACTTAAAAAAAAAATAGCCTCCTCTAGCCTGACCTCTGATAGGAAGTTCTACCCTTCCTATGAAAAAACAAACTCACTGCCATTGAGTCAATGGCACAGCGATCCTACAAGACAGGGTAGATGCCCCTGTGAGGTTCCCAGACTGTAACTCTTGACAGGAGGAGAAAGCCCTGTTCTTCTCCTACGGAGTGGCTGGTGGTTTTGAACTGCTGGCCTTGAGGTTAGCAACTGAACGTGTAACCACTAGGCCCCCGGGGCTCCTGTTCCCTGTCCTGAAGACTAATTAGAAAAAGGTGGGCCAATTAGGAAAAGGCAGCTGTTCGTGTGGGTACCAGGCTTAGTCTACCCTCAACCGAATGTTCGTGTAGTTGCCAACCTGCTCCACCATACGTGGCATCCCTGTGTGTGTTCAGAGGGCACAGTCTCTTGCACTATGACTAGGACTCTTTTGCACTAACCTCTCCCAGGCTGCACTGAGTTTGCTCATCCCAAGTACTGGGCTGGTGTGACACCCCCTGGATCTAGGACTTGCTCTCCGTCTAGAGGGTGAGATGGTTCTGTGGCCATGAAAATCAAGGCCGTATAATCCCATCATCCCATTCTTCATGGTTGGAGGGATAAAGAAGTAAAGAGGCAGCGTTTCCGGCCTGTGTGTCCGGTTTACCCTTGCACCAGGCTTGGACCACAGATGAACCCAGCAAATCAGTACTGAGTCCTGAATGGAGAAGGGTTAGCGGAGCTGCAGCCGATGCACAGGCTGCCAATCACACAGCCTGGGAATGAGGGTGTGTGAGTCTGCATGCAGGTAAAACATTGAGCAGCTGCAGCCGTCTGTGCATCTGTGTGTGCAGCCACCATATGATCGCGTGTGTGTGACTTCATGTGCCTGTCTGTGTGTATGTGTCTGGAGGGTCTATGTTCTGTTGTCCCTACCTACAAGCATGGGCGTGACCACTGTGAGACCACTGGGATTATGAGCACAGGGGAAGCTTTGGGGCTAGGTGTCCCCACGGTTATCTGTTGAGTGCTCAAATCTAGCAGGTCAACCCTCTGGTGGATAGAAGCCCTGGGACCCTCGGCAGGGAGGACTTAAGCTTACCTGAGCAGCTGGGCACAGCCCTGGACACGGGGGCTTGGGTATCTGTGGGGGAAAGTGCAGGGTCAGTGCAAGAACAGGGGCCTGGGGATGGCGAGAGGTTGGCCATAGGGGCCTAGGAGATGTCCCGCAAGCTTTTCTTCACCTGCAACTGGAGTGATCTTTTCAGAACCCTAACCTGATCATGTCATTCCCCGACCCCAGACCTGTCCGGGGCTCCTGCTATGTGCATGCTCAAGGTGTCAGCTCAAGGTGTCGAGAGCTTTGAAGGTCTGGGTGTCTGATCCCACCCTCACCCCCCACCCCCACACAGGCTCTTCTTCCAACCTCCTGGCCTTCACTCAGTCCTTCTAAGGCTTCTGTTCAGGCTCCCCTCTGTGTCTAGAGTCCTTCTCCTGCACCACCACCACCCTTCCCTGGTAAAACCCTCCTCAGTTTCCAAATTAAAAAACGAAAACCAGAAAAGCCCACTTCCATCGACTTTAATCATGATGTTCTAGGACAGAGTAGAGCTGCTTCTGTAAATCTCAATGGGAGTAGAAAGCCTCTTCTTTCTCCCACAAGAAACTGGTGGTTTCAAACTGCTGACCTTTTGATTAGCAGCCTAACTCCTCACTCACACTGCCACCAGCACTTCTCCTTCGAATCTCAGCTCCAGTTTAACTTCTGGGGGATCTCCTTGACCAGGCCTGGGCTCCTGTTGTAAGGGCCCAGCACTTTTCTCACTACATGTGTCCCCGTTGCAGTCATACATGTACTACTGGGGGGCGGTGAATGCTGTAGTTCTGACTGGTCCACACTCATCAGGTAGGCAAGGCCTACGTCATCACTTGCTCATCACGAGATCACCAACTACTAGCATAGGGCCTGGACACACAGGCACAAACACGTACGTGCAATGAATGAATGGTACCAGGACTGGTAAGGGCAAGGTATCCCACGCTGCCCCCAGAATCCACCTGCTCTTAGATATCTGACCCAGGCAGGTCCCAGGGCCAGGCTCTGTCATCTCGCCTCAGAGATCGTGCCCCACCAGGGCCACTGGGAGTGAATCGCTCTCTTACTTTTCCGAGTGATGGGTCCCAGGTTCAGGACACGGGTTGGGTCTATGGGACTCCCGCTGCGGAATCTCGTCCCAGAGCAGGTCTGCAGAGAGAGGGAGGGCGAAACAGAAAAGCTTTGTGAGGGAGACTGGATTCTGCCTGCCATGGAGTAGGCTGTGCTCCCCACCAGGGAACCTTTAATGGGGGGTTGAGGGTGGTACAGGAGTGTGGCAAAGTAGTTGCGAGTTCTTGACCCAGCTCAGCCATTTGTTACTCAAGGACCTTCAGCAAGTCACTTAACGTCTCTGAGAAAATGGGGCTAAAAATGTCTTCCTTATTAGTTGCCTTCAAGCTGATTCTCACTTATGAAGACCCTGGAACTGTACTCTATAGGGCTTGCATGTCTGCTCTTATGGAAGAAGATCACTAGACCTATTTTCCTAGGTCTTTATGGATGGGTTTAAACCTCCAATGTACTTAAATAGTCATTGCTTAACTGCCAACCTAAATTTTGGAGGTTCAAACTCACCCGGTAATACTACAGAAGAAAAGGTCTGAGTTTGATAATCCCTAAAGATTACAACCAAGGAAACCCTACAGAACAGTTCTATGCTGTAGTACATGGAGTTGCCCTGAGTTGGAATTGACTTGGAGGCAACCAACCCCACTATCACCACCACCTCCTTTAGAGTCTTGCTGTTGGGCGTCAGAGCCTGGTGTTGCAGTGGAGAAGGCGTTGAGCTGCTAACTAACTGCCAGGTCTGCAGTTCAAATCAACTAGCAGCTCCATGAGTAAAAGGTGAGGCTGTCTTTTTCAATAAAAATGTAGTCTGTGAAAATCCTAGGAAATACCTCGACTTTGTCATAGGGTCACTGTGAGTGAATCTAGTCCATGGCAATGGGTGGGTGGTCAGGGTTTCAAATTTGTCCATTCTGGTTTGACCTTCTGCTGAAAATATTCATTTGCAACCCAGATACACCGAACCAGAATCTACAACTCAATAAGAACTAAAATCTCCATGCCCTGGTTGCTGTGAACGTTGGAAAAACAAGGAGCCATGCTTTTGTTGTTCTAACACACAGTGCCCATGTACACAGAATGAAACACTGCCCGGTCCTGCACCATCCTCACTGTTGTTCCTGTTTGGGTCCCTTGTTACAGCCATTGTGTCAATCCATCAAGCCGAAGGTCTTCCTTGTTTTCACTGACCCTCTACTTTACCAAGCCTGATGTCTTTTTCCAGGGACTGGCCTCTCCTGATGACGTGTCCAAAGTACAGCGAGATGACATCTAGTCACCCTTGCTTCTCAGGAACATGCTGAGTGTACTCCTTTCAATGTAGATGTATACATCCATCCTTCCGGCCATCCATATTCAGGATCCTTGATCAACACCACAATTCAAATGGACTACATCTCCTGGGCTTCCCCATTCGTTCATTTTCCTGCTCTTCACTGTCCAGCTTTCCCATGTGTATGAAGCGAGTGAAATGACTGAGGCTTGAGTCAGATACACCATAGTCCTCAAAATGACCTCTTGGCTCTGTAACACTTTAAAGAGGTATTTTGCAACATAACACTTAACTAGCCAGCCACTGCTATTAGAACACAAGTTTGTAGACAAACCAGAATTTCTCCCAGCCAGTTGCTGGGATCATACCTGCCTGGCCACACTCACCCCATCTTATTGCTCAGCCCCTCCTGTACTAAAGGAGCATAACAGGGCTGTGTGTTTGTTTTCTTTCAGACCACGTGACCGAATGCCTTTCAGGTCAGTGTGAGGGGAGATAGGGGAGATGGGGGTCTGGCTAAAAGAGGGAGGCAGCTCACCGGCTTGCATTTCTCAGTCATGTTGTCACAGAGGTACACTTCACAGTGCAGGTAGACCAGGTCGTAATTCCCAGCAAACCGGAACATTTGGACCGAAAATCGGCTCTGAGGGGACTCTCCATTCTCCACCACTTGGATTGTTTGGTCCTCAATGCGTGGACATCTGGAAGGGTCAAATCATGTAACACAGTTGGTTAAGCCAAGACTGAAGGTCAGACTTCCTAGGTTCAAATCTTATTCTACCGCCGACTATCGGTGTGACCGAGAATAACTTACTTCTGCTGCTTGTGCCTCAGTGTCCCTACGTATAAACTCACTGCCATCAAGTTGATTCTGACCCTATAGGGCAGAGTTGTGGTGACCCTATAAAGCAGAGTTTAACTGACCCCGTGGGTTTCTGAGACTATAATTCTTTACGGGAGTAGAAAGCCTCATCTTTCTCTGATGCTGTTTATAAAGGGGACCATAATGGTGACCCATTTCATAAGAGAGATGTGCATACTAAACAATATGGTTCTGAAAAGTGCACATGAGAACCAGATGTGGCACACGTCACACAGAGAGGATGCTGAAGTAAAAATGCCATCCACGCAGACTTGAAATTAATTGAAAGTCAGCATTTTCTGATTCCCCGGGAAATGGCATTCAGAAATCATCAGTAACTAAAAGTCCTTGGGTGGTGCACACGGTTAGGACATTCGGCTGCTAGGTTGCTTGTCTGCTCTGGGTTAGAAGTTAAAGTTTACCCAGTGCTGCCTGGTGATCTAGTTCTGGAAAATCAGCCATTGAACACAGAAGGGACTAAAACAGGCCTCTGTTTCCTCTTTACTACAGAGGATTTTATAGTTTGTTATTAGCAAGTAGCAGAGGGCTGTGTGTGTTAACACCTGGATGAAACTCACACCTCAATGTGAGCCGGCCAATTGACAAAGAACTGAGAAGGCCGGTGACAGCCCCTCAGGACGCTTTCTCTGAGGCTCCTGCTGAAACTGCAGACACTCTGCTCTTTGCCTCTTTCCCTTTTCCACGGCACCTTCCCTGGTTCACTTCCGACAGACCTGACTTTTGTAGGGTGACTGATCTCCTCCTGTATGTACTGAACTGTATCCCCGGGAGCTATGCAGAAACCCTAACCCCTGTACTGTACATATGACCCTCATTGGCAATAGAGGCTTTCTTTTGTTGTGTTCATGAAGCAATGCCAACCTGGGATGGGTTCTAAACCTCATAGCTTCTGAGAGGTGTCTTATGCAAAGAGAAGAAGAGACACAGAGACACACCATAGGACGAACATCTACGGGCAAAAGAACATCTCAGATCAGGGGCAGCTACCAGAAACCAGGACAGAGGTTCAGCAGGAACTGACATGGCCAACACCCCCAGCCCCCACCCACGCCCACCCCCGTCATCACTGCAGTTGGTGGCGTCCAGTCCAGTAGCCCATGGTGTCACCCTCCCTGCACGCACCTTCTCCTGCACCAGACCATCCACCCCCTTACTAATGCTTATTACCATGTTGACTCATAGAATAACATGATACATATAGTTGTCAATTGCTTAAATGTAACGCATTAGTGCAAATCACAGCGGTGAATGGTCACACGCATTTGAAGTGACTACTCTCGACACACGAGCTCACCGCAAGCTCAGCCAGACAGACGCCTGCCTGAAACGGGCCTGTCCCATTCAAACCCACGCTGTTCAAAGGCCGACGGTGTCTCATTGATTTTATGAACTTGGTAAAATCTTTACATGCCGAATGACAGTTTTCAGTGGTTAAAGCCTCGTCATTCATTGCATCGTTTCCTTTTTTCCTTTCATGACTAATTAATTTTCAAAAAAGTTATTGATATAGGTTGACAACTATTAATGACTGCAGTTTTGTAGCTGAAATGCCAAAAAATCAGGGGAGGGGGGGTGGGGGATGGAGGAGGGAAGAGAAAAATGGGTTTCTGAAACTTGTGTAGGACAGTTAAAGTCAAACAAATATCTGAGGAAGTAAAAGAGATGAACAGAAGATTTCAAAGATCAGTTCGAAGAAACAAAGTGAAATACTTTAATGAAATGTGAAAGATCTGAAGTTAAAAAGCCAAAAGAGAAGTCGCACACTTGTTATTTCTCAAGCTGAAAAAAACTGGTTAAAAAAAAATCAAGCTTCAAGTGGCAATCCTGAAAGATTCGGGGAGGCCCCGCGGGGGGGATATTCAATGACTTAGGAAGCCTTAAAAGAAATTGGGAGGAGAACAGAGCCACTGTCCTAAAAAGAATTGGTCAGGGTTCAATCGTTTCAGGAAGTAGCATATGGGCTGAAGATCCTGAAGGAAGAAATCCGAATTGTACTGAAGGCATTGCCTTAAAACTTGGCTCCAGGAATTGCAGAATTCCAATCAAAATGTTTCAACAAACAGATGTAGCGCCAGAGGTGCTCATTTGCCTATGCAAAGAGATTTGTAAGACAACTGCATGACAAACCAACTAGAAGAGATCTATGTTTGTATCAAGTCCAAAGAAAGGTGCCCCAGAAAAACGCAGGAGTTTGTTACCAAACAATATCAGTAATATCACATGCAAGTAAAACCTTGCTGAAGATAATTAAATATTTGTAGCAGTACATTGACAGGAAGCCGCCAGAAATTCAAACTGTATTCAAGAGGATGTGGCATGAGATACCATTGCTGATGTCAGATGATCTCGGCTGAGAGCAGAGAATTCCAGAAAGATGCTTACCTGTGTTTCACTAGCTGTAATAAGGCATTTGGCTGTGTGTATCACGACAAATTGTGGACAAGAGTGGAAAGAATGGTAATTCCAGAACCCTTGATTGTGCTCATGCTGAACCAGTACACAAGCAGAGAGGATATGTGGGTAGAACAAGGGCATAGTGTTCGGTGAAAAATCAGGAAGAGTTTGAATCCACTGTGTCCCTTCACTGTACATACTCAGTCTGTATGCTGTGCAGATAACCTAAGAACCTGCACTATGTGAAGGGAAACGGGGCCTCGGGATTGGAGGGCCTCATTAACTGGTGATCCGCAGATGACACAACCTGGCCTGCTGAAAATGATAAAGAACGTGTATGTGTCAGAATCTAACCACACTCAAGACGGTTTCCAATGGCTTTATTTTCAAAAGTAGGCAGCCGGGTCTTTCTCCCTAACCATCTCTGAGTGACCTTGAATCACTACCTTTTCAATTAGCCACTGCGCACATTAACTTTGGCACTACCCAGGGACTCCTCCAAGTTCAAAAACCCTCTGGATGCTATGCCCAGGTGCTAACTTTCACTTTACCTGTCTCTGATGATGAAGTACTTTACGGGGTCGGTGATGTTGCCACTGGGTGTGGCGTAGCAGTTGGTCACCAGTAGTGCAAACCGAGACAGGTCCCCCCCATCCAGCATGGTTCCCACGTAGAGAAAGGCTTCAGTGGACAGGGTCACAGCAGGACCTTGGTAGGGCAGCGTGTAGGCTGGGTTCTGGAAGAGGGCCATCCGAACGGTGAACATGCCCATCCCGCCCACGCTGACGTTCAAGGCGCTGCAGGGGGAAAGAGGCTGGTGAGAGGCCCAGAGCTGAGAACGTCTGCTGCTAGGCCATGCTCTGAGCTCTGCGTTCCTGGGCAGCCCCTTCACTTCTTTTTAATTCGGCAGTAGAACTGGAACATATCAACCATGCCTTCACAAACTCGCAATAAGCTTGCACAAGTCACCTGGGGGGTCTTGTTCAAATGCAGGTTCTTATTCAGTTAAGTCTGGGATGGAGGCCAAGCGTCATGTTCCCAATAATAAGCTCCAGGTCCTACTGATGCCAACGCCACGTTTTAAGTAGCAGCCATGTCCGGGTCCTGACTTGGTGGCCCTGGCTGTCACTGTAGACATCAAGAGGAAGAGCAGACGTGGCTTTGAGGGAATCAGATTCCTCAATTTGGTCTCAGTCTCCAGCAGGTCAAAAGTCCCAAATCCTATAGGCCTAAGCCTGAGTCTTGGCTCCCCTGTCGCTGTACTAGCACCTACATTTGAAGATGGGGGTGCTTGGAATGGGTCACCATTCCAAGACCAAAATCCTTAGTGCCATTGAGCTGGTGGTGACTCATAGTGACCCTATAGGACAGGATAGAACAGCCCCTATGGGTTTCCACAACTAACTCTTTACAGGAGTAGAAAGCCCCCCTCTTTAGCTGGTGGTTTTAGGAGGCATGTTGAAAATTCAGCTCTCTGACATAGACTTCACCGGACAATCTCACCAAGGACATTGTCAATCAATGTTCCGGGAATTAAGGTGTGTTAGAAAGACTCCGTTATACAGAAATTCATCTCAGAAGTTAGCACTGGTTTGTGGACTACGGGTTGTCCTACACACAGGTGTGTTTCATCCTGAATCCCGGGTCTAGGACATGTGATGCTCTTCCCCCAGGGGAGCCATGTGCCCTCCTAGTGGTCTTAGCCCTCCCATGCGTCTACCTAGGGAACACAGAGCCCTGGGGAGTGGACCGCTGAAGATCAAGCAAGAGTGAGGCCTTGGGCACAATGGTCTGAGCATGTCAGGTGCCGCTGCTTACTCCTCCCTGGACCTTGGACAGCTACTTAACCTTCTCAGAACCTCAATTCCCACTCCCATATATTGGGAATAATAATAATGACACCTATACCTCCCAGGGCTGCTATATGGTTTCAGTGAGATGTCTCCTGGGAAGTGTTTGGCATAATGTCTAGCATGTAGTAAGCTCTCATCAAATGGCAGTTCTTAGTACAGATATTATTTTTTGCACCATCAGCATCACTGGTTCATTCTGCCGTTCATCCTATTCAAAGTAGTTTCAATTTTACTTCACAACCAAATTGTTTTTCATGTGGCATCCAATAGGGGCAGAAATTCTCTATTTAACCTTGCAGGGACCCAGAAGGCACCAGCTTAAAGCCCCTCAGACTCCAAGGAGCATAAGTGGTAAAATTTTCTTCTAATCTAACTCCTTCAACTTACAGAGAAGGAACTTGAGGTCCAGATGTGGTTCATGATCTGCACAAAGTCCCATGGCCGAACTGGACTGAGACTCCTGACCCCACTGCCACCTTCTGGTTTTGAATCACTCGCTTCTCTGATAAGCTGAGGCTGTCATATTTGATTCACATCTGAAGGGTATATTGTACTTCTGAGAAAGTCAGTATAAACGTTACTAGAGCCCTTTCACAGAGGAGAAGACTGGCATCCTAAGAGGGACTATCAATTCTTTAACGTCATCTAGTTAGAACACAACACAGTCTGGATTTGAATCTAGCCTCCAGACTTCATAGGTGGGGGGGCCTCTCCTAGCCTTCCCTAACAGCTCCCCCCACTCCCCACCCCCATACCACACACTCTATGGGTGGCAATCAGCAGAGAAGCGGAGGACTTTGTGCCTAATGAGATCTGGGATGGAGCCACCCACGGGTGCTGGGGTCCTCCTCTGGCCGCACCTGACCATGGGCTGCAGGGAGGTCTTCAGGCTGACTTTCATGTCCAGGGGATAGGAGCATGCAAAGTGGATCTTGATGTTGAGGTCTCGGATGATGATCTCATCTGCCAGGTAGAGAGTGTTGCTGTACGTGGCATGGGTTTCATTTTTCTGTGATTGGGAGGGGTGTAGTGGGGGAGAAAGGGACATGAGAAGCTGCACAGGGTGGCAGAGCCAGAGAGGTTGGTCTCTAGCCACCTGGGAGCAACCCTTCCAATTCCCATGACACACACACACACACAAAGCCCAAGAGCACCAAGCACTTAGGAGCACATGTCCTGTGCTGGGCCCTGAGCCACGTGCTACTGAGCCCCATGCTGCTTCTTTGAAGAACAAGAAGACTAAACCCCTGGGCCAGGTCATGGATGAATGGTGGTATTTCAGAGGCCACGGTTGACAAATGAAAATGAATTTACTCCTTTCTTTCTTCCTTGCAGTGTTATCTTCTCTTTTCTTTGGGGATGGAGGAAGTTGTGAGGAGGACGCAGGACTCTGTTCAAGCAAACATTGACCCATGGCCACCAGTTGAGAGATTCCCAGATGATGTAAGCAGTTTGCCCTCCACTACTAAGGGCAAGGTGCTTGGTTCAAACTCACCTAGTGGTGCCATGGAAGAAAGGCGTGGTGCTCTGCTTCTGTAAAGATTACAGCCAAGAAGCCCCGAAAAGTAGCTCTATACTGTTAATGGGACTACCAAGGGCTGGAATCAACTCAATTCCAGTGGGCTTGGGTTTTAGGTTTGTGCAGGCGAGCTCCTGGTTCTCCAGTAGATATGCAGAAAGCCTGCTTTCTGGGACCACTGGGAGCCTTACAGAACCGATTCTGGCCTTGACTCCTATACCCATGACATGAAAAATAATCACGGCCTTGTCTGAATCCTACTTCTCCACCTGTAAAATGGGGAGCTATCATCCAGGCACAGCCTTCTTGATTTTCCGCTACCATGTATAAAGTACGCACTATGTACCAGCCGTTATCCTAATCACCTCACACACATGCATTCATTTTACAGGTGAGAAAACAGCCAGACTAAACAACACAGCACTCTGAGCCTGGCCCACGCTGGCCAGCACATACCGTCATCACAGTCCCACAGGGGCCGCCCTGGGCTGGGGTTACCACTGACATCCAGTCCCTGTCAGTCCTCTCACTGAAGCCGGAGCACCGACTATCTCGCAGGTACATGAAGATCTCCTCAAATCCCAGGCTCTTCAGCTGGCACGTGCCCAGGGACACCTTGATGTCATTGGCCCCACACTCCAGCCTGGGTTGCAGCTGGGAGATGTCTGAAATGGCCAGGCAGACAGGATTGAAAAGCCTGTGTCTATGGCTGGAATCCCAGCACATCACCTGGGGGCCCACCCAAATGGCCAGGTTGGCTTCTGGCCAGGGTCCCTCAGGTGCTGTGGTTCCCCCCCCCCACTGTGATGGAGACACAAGGTCAACTTGCAACATCTTAGGCCAAAATTATGCCCTGACGTTTTCTTAAAACCAAACCGTAGTTCAGCACAGCGAGCAAAAAGTCTCTGCCTTGAGCAGGTCTTTTCAGAAGAAAAGATCACATGGACAACAGCCACTCGAAAGATTGAGTAGTAGTGAGTTGATGTTAATAGGGACGAACAACTCAGACAAAGAGGGTGAGAATGGTGCCATGACCCAAAGAGTGCCACCAATGCCATGGAATTGAACCTGTAGAAACAGCTGTGCTGTGTATATTCCCACCACCACCACTACCAAACAACTGGCTTCAGAGCGGTGGACTCTCTGGGCTTCGTGGCCAACCCTCTGCCCCAGGCCATCCTACGAGTGGGCTGGATACCACACGCAGGGCAGTTGGGAGTTGTCTACTGTCTCAGTAAGTAATCCCAGATTCCAATCAATCAATCAATAACAAAGCTCAACCCCAGTTAGTTGCAATTTCTTTTACATTGGTCATTTGCCCCTTCAACAAAAGGAGACCTGGTCTAGGATCCGAATGTGGGGCAGGGAACAACCTTCACCTCCGAAGGGAAATGTTAAACTCTTTTCCTGAAGCAGCTTGAATGTCGTGACCTTGGGTCTTCATTACATTCACTGAAGACGCGTTTTCATCTCTACTGTCAAAATCTCAGAGGCCCAGTGACTCAGCGGGGCTGCTAGCCGCTAGGTGGGTGGTTCAAACCCGCCAGCAGCTCCTGGGGAGAAAGAATGGGCAGTCTGCTTCTGCAAGGTTACACAGCTTTGGGAAGCCTATGGGGCACTTCAGCTTACAGTCACTTTGAGGGGGAATCCAGCTGTGGCAAGGGGTAGGGGAGAAAGAATGGGCAGTCTGCTTCTGCAAGGTTGCACAGCTTTGGGAAGCCTATGGGGCACTTCAGCTTACAGTCACTTTGAGGGGGAATCCAGCTGTGGCAAGGGGTAGGGGGTCAAAATATCTGAAGGTATTAACAACCATTACTTTCCATCTGAGGTGTCATTTGGGCACAGGCAGATACAGCAGTAACGATCCATTTCCCAAATTTAGTTAAAAGAAGGAGGGATCTAAATCGCATGAAGAACAACAAGTAAACGAATCAAAAACATAACCTATGTAGTACTTTGGATATAGACAAACAGAGTGTCACTGACACCTGAGGGGCTGCGGTTTGGAATATTCTAGACGGCTTTAATCACTGTGAACATGGAGAAAGGGAGGCTCAGAGAGGGGCGGGCGCCCTGCCCACGGTGGCTCAGCAGATTAACAGGAGGCCTGTGTTCTGGGTACCTTCAATTCCCGGGTGGCAATGACACACGTGTGTTCCCTGTAGTGGGAGCCTGCTGAAGAAGGCTGGGTGTATGGGGGCCTCTGAACTCTGGTTGCTCGTCTGGTTGCTCATAACGGGGGCATCGCTGGCCCTTCCTGCTGCTCTCAGATAGGACCCTCTCCACCCCTATCCCCCACCCCGGGGAGCACTCCCAGGCCCCCATCTCACACAGTGTTGGTCCGTGGTCCAGGCCAGCCAGCGTCTCACCTGAGATGTTGAAGTCTTGTTTGCACTGGCAGCTCCACCTGCCGCTATCTGACGTGCAATCCTCTTCCAGGCTGCACTCCTCACACCTGCCCTCCACGGAGCTGGGGTCTGCGGGGCCGTGAGGGCGGAGGGTCAGCAAGGAGGGGACCCCATCCCCGCCACTCCCCACGCGCAGCGGCGGCTGGGGAGGGGCCTGCTCACCCGTGCAGTATGCCAGGTAGCACTGGGGGGGCGCCGTCAGGTTGTAGACATAGTAGCCGCCGGCGCAGGCCTTCACCTGGACGGGCGTGGCCCACCGGCAGCAGTGATCGCTCCAGTGCGCGCACGCCGTGCGGCTCACGATGCCCTCGTCGGTGGACGGGTGCGTGCCGTTGAGCCACATGGGCGCGGCCGTGTAGCAGCGCAGCACCGGCACACAGGTCTCTGGCAGGCGCACGCCGCCGGGGCCCACGAAGCGGTACCAGCCGCTCAGGCTGGCGTCGCAGGCGTAGCCCCCCCGGTAGGTGGCGCTGCGCCAGTATTCGTTCAGGGTGCGATGCTCCAGGCAGGGGTCTGCGCACGCGCGCGCACTGCCCCCTGCCGGCACGCAGTCCAGCCCCGGGCCGCAGGAGCCCGGGGCGCATGCGCAGTGCCGCCCGTCCCCGCCGTAGCCCGCGGGGCACACGCACGAGTAGTTGCCTTCCCCGTTGACGCAGGTGGCCAGGGCGTGGCAGTCGCTGAGCCCCGGCTCGAGGCACTCGTCCACGTCCACGCAGCCGCGGCCGGGCGCCGGGCGGAAGCCGGCGGGACAGAGGCAGGCGTAGGAGCCCGGCGTGTTCACGCAGCTGCCGCCCGCCCAGCAGCTGGGCGCCCCCGGCGCGGCGCACTCGTCCAGGTCCACGCACTGGAAGCCGTCCCCGGTGAAGCCCGCCTGGCAGGAGCACGTCGTGGCCACCCCGTCCTGTTGGCAGGTGGCGTTGCTGTGACACTGCACGCAGCTCTCTGAGGAGAGAAGCCCGGGCTCAGGGTGGGGGCAGCGGGCCGGTGAACACCCCCCAGGGTCGCTTCCCACGCCCTTCAAGACGGAACCCTGAACTTCTTTCAAAAGAAAATTCCCCAGCGGGGTGGACGAACAACAGAAACGTGGGGGAAGGGAGACATCGATTGGTGTTAAGATATGAAAACAATAATTTATCAAGGGGTCACAAAGGTGGGAGGGGGAGGGAGGGAATAAAGAGTTGATACCAAGGGCTCAAATAGAAAGTAAATGTTTAGAAAACGATGAAGGCAATATATGTACAAATATGCTTGATACAATTGATAAATGGAGTGTTATAAGAGCTGTAAGAGCCCCAATAAAATGATTTTTTTTTAAACCAAAATTCTGCCTAGTTCATTCTGGCTCAGAGTTATCATACTGACTCATCTTCTCTCCTACACAGAGTGACTGGTAGGTTCAAACTTCCCACCTTTTGATTAGCACTTATTTACTGTGGCATCACACACCCCCATAAAGATGACAATGAAGAAAACCCCAGTGAGCAGATCTACATTGCCTCTCGGGGTTGCTATGCAACAGAATTACTAGAGGGCACCTGACAACAACCACCATTGCATATTAAAGATCAAGAAACCAAGATCCCAAAGGTTTAAGCCACTTGCTCAGTTGGCAAGCTGCAAAGTGAGGACATGAGCCCAGGTGGCCAGACCATGGAGTGTGTGCTCTTTAACTGACACCATCATGAGAGTTACTATGTAGATGTCCTGGGTCGTACAAATGGTTAGTCCTACCCAGAGACACCACAGAAGAAAGGACAGCCATTTACTCCCAAAATATCAGCCATCAAAAACCCCATAGAGCTGAGTTCTACTCTTCACATGCCATGAGTCAGCACCAGGGCAATTCGTTTTTTATTTACTGTGCATCCAGAGTACCCCAGGGAGAGCCTGAAAGCTTCATGAGGCCAATGCTCAATTCAATGGGATGACTTTAAAAAAAAAGAAAAAGACATTTTCTTTCTACTTGAGCCCTTGGTATCAGCATTTCTTAAGGGTGGAAGGGGTGATATTTCGGAGTCATCTGGGTATGTTCAAATCTCCCCATGTGCTTGAGTATGTTCTTGACCTTCCTGTAAGGTTCCGTTGCCTGAAAGCTATTGTAGCCCCTTGCCTTTCAAAATGTCTTCCCTGGGGCAGCAACATCAGCATCACCAGGTATGTGTTAGAAATGTGGATTCTCAGGTTCCACTCCAGACCTACTGAACCAGAATCAGTATTTTAGCAACATGACCAGGTGAGTCCTGTGTGCATGAATGCCTAAGAAACCAATTTAGAATAAAGATTGTGCAAATCCGAAATGTGATAGATCATGAACACCTCTCCTAGGGGCTGTGTGGCTCACTGCAATCCCCTGCCCCTGCCCCCTGACACTTACTTGCTTCGGAGCTGTTGGTGGCTGCAACTATGTTGAGCCAAGAAGACACCAGCATCACTGTCAGCATTGAGGTCAATGAGAAAAGTCGTCCCATCCTTTTTGCTTTTTCCTACCACTTCTGGTACTAAGAAGTCCTGCCAGAAACAGGACAGATGGGCTTTGGGTGTTTCTTCCTGGTCTCTGATCCCTAGGTCCTGTGAGCAGAGAGGGATGGACTAAACCCATGCCAGAACTCCCCTCCCAATTGAGAAGAGCACTTTGGTTGTGGCCTGCATCACTCCAGGAGGTACCTTTTACATAGATTACAAAAATCCTGCCACATAGAGGTCCAGCGGGGTCCCAACCACATTTCCACCCAGATCCCAAGCTTTGCTTCCCAGGGCTCAGCACATCTGGAAGGACTGATTTCCTTCATCTGAAGCAGGGAGCAACAATATGGAGTGATGTTCTGGACTGGCTTCCTGTCTCCTGTCCAGGTCCACGTAGTCATCCAACAAACATTTATTGAGTAGCTACCGTGTGCTAAAGCAAGGTTAGGCACCCTGGTGGACAATGAACAGGACAGACACAATCCCTGCACTCAAAAATTCTAATGTCTTGAGTCAACAGCTAGAGAGGTAACTCACCTTCACAATACATTTTATTCAGAGTGATCTCATATTGTTTCATCCAACTGGCAAAGGAATCCTAGACGGCTGCTATTACCCCTGTTCTTTGAGCAGCAAAATAGGATGCCCCGGATTTAAGTGTGCGGGACCTGCAGCCTACCATGTGAATTGAAATCTCAATGCCTGGCAGCGTGACATTGGAGAAAGGATTCCAATTCCTTAAGACTCAGTTTCCTCATCCATGGAATGGGGAATATTGCTTTGGAAAACTGAGCGTCTGTTATATGCCAGGCTCAGTGTTAAAACATCCTTGTGGCTCGTAAAACTTGGGTCTTAGATCAGTGTTTTTTGTTTTGTAGGGGTTTCCTCCACCACCACCCCCGCTCCCATCTTCTTCATTATGACCACCAATAGGAAAAACACAAATTATGTCATGACCCATGAGATTACAGGCATATACTCACACAACCAAAATAAAACAGTATTTTCCCTTCCTACATGCATCGCTTGAGGGCATTTTCTAGTCTATTTACTTAAAAGAAAATTCTGGATAGACACACTGATAATTTAATGATCCACTAATATCCATTGTTGCCATGGAGATTAATCCAGAAGACACACGTAAATCAGAGCCAATACTCTTATTCACTCCCACATCACACATCTGGTACACAGTAGCCACTTCACAAATAGTCACTGAATGAATAAGAAGCACAGTAGCTCTTGTTATTGGGAAAGGTTCGATTCTGAGATAGGGAGAATGAACAAGATCACAGAGCCATTGAGCAGAGTAATGACTCAATCCCTGCTTTGATTCCAATGCCCAAATTAATTTTCTCCCCTCAAATAGCATAGGTGCCAGTTGACAAGTAGATGGAAGACAAGCTGGGAAGACAGGTAGGAGAGAGCTGCAGACAGCCTTACCTGAAACCAGAAAGGCAGAATTAGTCCACACACAAGCATGTGCCTCCTATATATACACACACGTTGACCCCTGGCTAGGTCTGTTTCTCGAGATTTGAGATTGTTTCCTTGGGCATGCAAATTTTTTTAAGTTCTTTTGGCATAGTGTTTTCCTTTTCTAGCCTGTGAGGAGGTTGTTTTTAACCTAATAGCTGGAGACCCCAGATGCTTGACATTGTGGGTCACACCTGTGCCCAGAAATACAAGGTCTCTGTTTTTCACCTTATGGGAGTAAGAGATTCCTTAGTTAGGAATTAACTGGGAAAGCAGTGCCAAGATACCAAGTTTTTTCTCTTGAGAACATGGCAAGGGCAGAGTGGACCCAAGAAGCCAGGCAGAAGTCGATGTCTGCAGCCAGGCAGCACAAGGACAGAGGGAGGGGATGTTCATGTTGCCACTGAGGCGTGTTCCTGCGTCAGTGGGTTTCTCTGACCTGGAAAGGCACAACATTCTGAGACACATCCATGGCCAAAAGACAGCCCTAAGAGATGGCTACCCATGACCACTGCCCAAACACACCCATGGCCATATGATAGCCCAAACCCAAACTCATTGTTGTCAAATTGGCCTGACACGTGGCAACCCATATGTTACAGAGCAGAACAGTTCCAACGTTTTCCTGGCCGCACTATTGATGGAAATAGATGTCCAAGCCGCTCTTTTGCAGCGCCACAGCATGAGTTTGAATCACTAACCTGGTTCGTAGCCAAGAACTTGGCCATTTGTGCCATCAAGCGACATGGCAGCCCAAGGGATAGCTATTCTCATTACCCATACTGTTTAGATGAGACAATGCGTTCACCAATGAACTTGGTTTTTATTTTGGGGTGGGCATGGGGGATGGCACAGTAGTCATGATTCCATAAACAGCTCCATCAAGGTGACTTTGGCTTTTCAGTTAGAGACAGAAAACACCAGAACTTAGATGAAACATGGGTCTCCTGACCCATTTCCACGTAGGCAGCAATCCGAGATGCAGTGTAAGAGTGGACATCAATCTTGCTACAGAACCACGTGTGTGACCTTGGGCTGGCAGAGAGCCACAGCATCGACTTTTTCTGGAATTTTCTTATTCAGCCCCAGCCCAATGGTGCAATCAACCCCTTGGGGTCAATTCCTGGAAGTTAAAGTTCAGGGTCAAAGAGACAGTAACGCTTTAAGGATTCCAAAAGATATGTTCTTTTGGCTTTTGTTGTCATCACATTTTAAAATTGTTCTAAATATACACATACTTTCCTATTTAATGGTTCTCATGTGAATAATTTTGTGATACCAGTTATATGAATTGTGTTGGGCAGTTATCACCTGCCTCTTCCAAACAGCACCTGAGAGATTTTTACACATGATTTTGTGGTCCATCAGCAGGACTTACCAACGCTAACACGATTACCTTGTTGTTGTTGTTTATAACCTTTCCCTAAAATATAAATGAGAAATATCTCAATGTTACTTACATTAGGAACTCTTTGACAAAAAGGGAAGTTAGGTCTTAATTTGGTTAATATTTATTGTTCTTTTCTGAACTGGCACTTTATGGCCCACGCCATTCTTTTTTCAATAGGCTTATTTCCCATTTGGGTTGGAGTTAGTGGTTGCTTTCTTACTGCTCTAGATGAAATAAAAATACATCCTGGATGATGTTTACCATTTCTGCCGGGTCCACCCAGACCTTTCAAAGCCGTCAGTGAGGTGTCTGTCGTAATTCTCGAGTGCTGCTCCATAGGCAACAGAAACACCCAAAGTGGGTGGTTTCAAAGGACAGAAACTTATTTTATTATAGCTCTTGAGGCTACAAGTCTGAAGTCAACATGTAGCTCTAAGGGGAGGTCCGGTATTGCCTATTTCCTCTTCTAGAAGCCACAGTCCTTGGAGCTCCTGGGTTGATAGATACGTCAGTGAGGTAATTAGTTTACTGTGCCATCCTGGCCGATAAACACATGTGGGGTTAATTGAACTCATTTATCACTGAGATAAATGGCTCAGTGAGCCTCGCCTTTCTAGTTCTCTGGCCTCTTGCTTTCTGATAGTTGGACCAGCGTGTAGCTGCCTTAGCCAGTTCCCTGCTTTAGCTGGCAAGGCCCACTTCGTGCAAGACATCCCCAAGGAGAAGCCACATGGACTTACCCCGATGCAGCCCTGGGTGCTGGAGCAGCTGTGTAGAGATCCCTGCCAGCGCTGAGATGCTCACACGCTCACTGATTTGGCTTTCCTCCTGCAGTTGGCATCATTGCATGTGTTTTGTGAGATGGAGAACAATTTTGTGGATTGGTGTTGGACATACGGGTTAATGTTGGACTTGTGGGTTTGGGCAGCACTGGGTTGGGATGTTTTCTTGATGTGCACTCACCCTTTATATAAAACTCTCTCATATATATATATATATATATATATGAGTTTCTGTGGATTTGTTTCTCTAAAGGACCCATATATATATATATGAGTTTCTGTGGATTTGTTTCTCTAAAGGACCCATATATATATATATGAGTTTCTGTGGATTTGTTTCTCTAAAGGACCCAGACTAACACAGTCAGCTTCTATCAGCTTCTGCTAATGGTCATTCCTCTAGCCTTCCCCTCGTGTCTGCTTGCTTTTCTGCGCCTCATCTGCCTTTATAAAGTGAATGCATTTAAGACACACCCTCCACATTGGCCTCATTAACGTAAGAAAGAAAACCCAGTTCCCAGGGTAGGATTCTAGCACACATTTTGGTGGGGACACAGTTCAATCCATCACAGTCTCTTTGGAGGATTAAAGACATCTGGCTTTTGGAGCTGTCTGAGCAAAGGCCTGGGCAGGAGAATGGGGAGTCTGGGCTTGAACCAACCCAGGAGCATCATCTTCACCCAACACAGTAGAATATTCTACTTCTCATGAGCCATGACCCTACTCTTCTCTGACATGTACGATGCTCTTCCCAGCCCCACAAACTATTGTCCTCAAAGCCACTGAACAGGGACTCTCTCATCTCCTCATTCTACCTGCACTGGACTCTTTCCACGTGTTCGCTTTTGTTATAATGGAGGAAGTGCCTTCCCTATAAAGCCCTCTTCTTTCTGTATGCTTGGACGTCCTAGGCCTCTTACCTCCACCTGCCCCTTCTTCCTGAGTCATCTGTTTTCTCTTACCTGCTGGATTCTTCTCGTTGACGAGTTCCTGCTTTAGAAACCCTCTTTTGACCCCACGGCACCATCTGATTGTCCACCTTTCCCACAGCCTAACTTCTCGCAAGATGATCTCTATACTCTTCACTTCAGCTCACACCAAGAGGCTTTCTGAGCCTCCACTTCCATGAACACCGCTCATCAAGATCACCGATGACTTCCACGCCACCAAATCCAATCGAGATTTCACTTCTCATTTCAGTGTCAGGGCGCTCACCCTCCTCCTGCCATGGAGCCCATGCTGACTCGGAGCCACCCCCCTGTGGGTTTCTGAAACTGCAACTCTTTAAACTGTTGATGGGAGTAGACAGCCCAGTCGTTCTCCCTCAGAGCTGCTGGTGGTTTTGAACTGCCGACCATGCGGATCGCAGCCCAACGTGTAACCACTACACTACCAGGGCTCCATAGTGCTCACTAAGTATGTTCTTTCATGGACTTCCCTTCCTCCCTCAGCAGTGCTTTGCGCTGTTGTTCATCCCCTCCTTCTTGACACATTCTTCTCTCTTAGCTTTCAAACATGGGTAACAAGCCTTATTCTTACTGCTCTTAAGAGCTGTCCCTTCCTGAGTGACATGTCTCATGTCAGGCATTCGTTGTCTGGCACAGGGAAATACAGCACCCCTATTATAGGGAAGACAATGGAAGTTGAGAGGGGTTGAATAACTTCACCCAATGCACAGCTAGATAGCAAGTGCAAACTAAAACCCAACGCTCATTGAGATTTAGCTCCATGATATACTCCATTCTGTGGAGTAAAGACTATTTGTACTTCATCTTGAAAGAGGGACATGTGATTTTATGCCTTTTTTTTTTTTTTTGAGAGAGCGAAGCTAAGCTAAAGAGTTTTGGAAAATTGATCAGAGGTTCCCATGAAAAGTTGGTATGGCTGGTACAGATAGGAACTGGAAACGCAGGAAATCCAGGACAGATGATCCATTCAGGACCAGTGGTGAGAGTGGTGATACTGGGAGGATGGAGGGAGGGTGGGATAGAGAGGGGGAACCGATTACAAGGATCTACATATAACCTCCTTCCTGGGAGATGGAGAACAGAAAAGAGGGTGAAGGGAGACATTGGACAGGGTAAGATATGGCAAAATAATAATAATTTATAAATTATCAAGGGTTCATGAAGGAGAGGAGAGTGGGGAGGGAGAGGAAAACATGAGGAGCTGATACCAAGGACTCAAGTAGAAAGCAAATGTTTGAGAATGATGATGGCAACAAATGCACAAATGTGCTTGAGACAATGGATGGATGGATGGATTTTGGTAAGAGTTGTACAAGCCCCCAATAAAATGAGAATTCCAACCATGAGCTTCCTGACTGGTTTTCCTGGGTTGCCTTTCAAAATAAATATCATATCATATCTCACATCCTGTAAGTAATAGTTGCAGGCTGCTATTCTTTGCTCTGTATGCTAGAGAACGAGAGACCTAGGGTAAAAGTTTGCCCTTCTCCACCCTCTCCTCATGTCTTCCCAGCTCCTCCCCCATCCCCAATTTAGGATCTATGAGTAACCGACTGCTACTCACTGCCTCTGAATCAAAGCCGACATAAAGGTTCCCTATAGAGCTGCCCCTGTGAGTTTCTGAGACTGTAACTCTTGAAGACCAAGTAGAAAGCTTTGTCTTTCTCCTGGGGTGATTTCAGCTGCTGACCTTGTGGTTAGCTGCACAATGTGTAACCACTATGCCAGTATTTCACTCCTGCTATATCACATGACCACAAAATCAACAGCTTGAAATAGCACACATATACTTATTTACAACTCTGCGTGCAGGTATTGAACCTGTTGCTTCAGTCAAACCACCCACATTATTGAGGGCGTTTGTAGTCCACCTGCACGTGGTCCTACCAGCTGACCCATGAGAGGCTGTGGGCCTCTTCCTCCAGTGGGTCCTTATTGAATTATTTCTCTCTATAA